AAATTGCAGTAATTGCCTTGCAAATAGGACTTTCTGGGGTAAACGTTCTGCTCTATTTCTGTACGAAATAAGGAAGTTAACATTTAATAATGATTTCATTACTTCTTACTTTTTAGTTTTTCTACTTTTTCGGTCTAGCGTTTATTCAAAGACTGCTTGATTTGCTAGTTTGCGAGGAAGTCAGTGTATGTTCATGGGAACAAACAAAAACGAACAGCATCTGTTTTCCTCTTCTTCCTTTTTCCTTTTCTCAAAGCCTTAGTATTAATCTTTACCATAGCTGGGCTTCATAACTAGAGATAATTATCGTGCCTTTTTAGATGAACAAGTGAAAATTCTAGCAGGAAGTAAACACGGAAATGAACAGAGCTAGCGAAATTATTTGTTTTGAGGACCGCAACGGTTTTCTCGAATTTTATATTATTTATTTATTTATTTATTCATTTTTTATGCGACGAAAGAAAGTAACAGCAAGATAAGACTTTAATATCTTCCTGAAAAGTATAAATGGGAAGGTTTGGAAACAGCGAATGCAGCATAACATAGCGACAAAAGTCCAGAATTCGTCATTTTTACAAGAACGAGCGTGGGCAAAAGTGAGGGAAAATCAAATACTAATTTTTTTTTTACCGATATGAGTCTACCGGCTGTCAAATTCTAACAAATATCTATGCCCATTTCCAAAGCATCCTTTTTTTTTAATTTAGCTAAACATCTTTCTGAGCACACGACTGATTTTGTTTCGTCTCTACTGAGTTATTTTCTCCTTCATATAATCAAGATCGGGAGTATGGACCTCTTGGCCGACGATAAACCTAATATGTAGATATATCCACGTCCCTCAAATTAAGCATCCGTTTCGTTTTTGGTGAATTTAAATTTACCTAAATGTGTTTCTTTAAACGAGTGATTTTGTGTCGACTTAACCTCTCGACACCATATCATTTCAAAGTGGTTAATATAATGATCGTATGTTTTAAACTTCTGTTGCCTATCCAGGCACATAATTCCACATGCATAATTGCGCTATCTTGCATAATAATCATAATGATAATCATAATCGTAATCATAATCATTTATATTTCCCTTTTTTCACAATCTATTTCTTGGTAAAAAGGTCGATGTATGAAGGCCTGTGTGACAATTGCTTCTTTTAGATTACTCTGTGGAGAGATTTTCGATAATATCAATTTTACCGTTAAGTTTATAATAGAGCTCCGGCTGAATTTACAATGAATGATCAGATTCTTTTCTTAAGGTGGCTTGACCGGATTTATTTTAAGGGTGTATACTTCCCCACTTTGAGCGTTTACTAAGTCGGCATCAACAAAGTTATCGGAAAAAGATTACAACAACTGTACTATATAAAGATTAAAATTCGTTATGGTCTTTAGTGACGTCGGAATTGCCATGGCAATTAAACGCTCAATATATTTTTTTTAAATACTTGATAATAACGAGATAAGTCATCAATTTATATCGCCTCTACTTTTCAAGGATATTGAAAACAAGGACGGCAATAAAATGAGGGCTTCAAATGTCACAAATTTTTCCCCAGACGTTGTGTTGGGATGAGCCATATGAGGAGTACTAACAACATCTTGGGAGAAGTCATAGTGTCATCGTACGTTAACGGAGAGTTAACGATCGCCTTGTATCGATCATAAGACACCGCTAGCAAATGAAAAATCGTGTTAACGTAAAAGTATCGATGAAAGCACGAATTTAGATGACACATCGTTTGGCCGTATAGCCATGATTCTTCTGCTATGTTTGCTATACGAAAAGAGTTAACCAGGATTAAGCACAAAAAATCTGACACAGCAGGACTGGCAAGTAGGAAGTATCGCATCTTGTGCAATTGTCTTTCCAAGAATATTGTCAAGATCACCAGAAAATTACCTGGAAGGCTAGGGGTGTCAAAAAGTGCATGAAACACTGCAATGACTTCGGAAAAGGCCATTCTGAATTTTAGTTTTTTTTAGACTTCAAAGCCTGCTTGCATGCTAACCAGTTGAGTCTGGCCTAAAGATCTTAACAGAACATTATTTCTTGGGAAACAATTACAAAAAAATATATGCTTTGAGAAAAAAGGTGCTAATGTTGCAGTGAATGATTTAAATTCGTTAACAAAGACAAAAAAAAAAACAAATAAGTAAAAAAGGATTTGAAGGGGAGAAAATAATTCAGTAATTTCCGAGCAAAACTGTCTTTATGGTGATTATTTTTTGCCCGATTTCTGCAAGAAATACAAGAAATTGACAGTTAATACTTATTTCATCCTTGCTTACAAACAGCTTTTTTTTTACTCTGTTGACTTCCACGGCTGCTTCTGAATTTGGTCCATAAACATAGTTTTAGTTTATACTAGGGATAGAATAAGAAACCTATGAGTTCTTAGACCTTCTCCCTGGCACAGACTGCCAGGCATATCCCTGTTTTAACTAGCCTTCGAACGCAAACGTATTTCCGATCGTCTCTTCTTTGAGAAACCAAGACGGGAAATACATCTGGGAGAGTATGCTATGCTTATATAACCCAAACGTCACGCAACCGTCACGCAATGTTCATTCCTCACGTGACAACACAAAAAAGGATGCGGAGGGAACTATGGTAACGAAAGGCTTGGATTTGATGTCTATAGCCTGGAAGCTACAATAGCTCTTCATCTTCTGTTTATTCTGGGGCTATATTACTAGGTAAAAGTCACGCGCGAGAGGCACGCGAAAGGAGACATGAGAGGGAGACCGCTCGCTTCCACGTTTCTCGTGGTGCGCGTCGTTCGCCAATCTCGAAATGGAGAGCTTGCTGCCTGCTAGCTGCTATGATATCTCTTGCGGTCGCCCAATCCTTTCAAAGTCCTTCTTAATCGACATATCTTAATTTGTGTTGCTTAAGCTTCCTTGACAAACTACAGGATGATGAGTTTTTGTTTTGCTCATGACCGGCTGTCGGTGTGTCGGAGATGTAGCCATATCATTATTTAATAAAGTGAGTTATTTATCTCAAGATACCCTCAACAACAACCTTTCTACCTGCAAATACTTACATATCAATTTTTGCTTTTCCGGTCGAAGTAGTATTAAAACAAGTAACGAATTGTCCACCAGTATTTGCTGCCACTCGACCATGGCGAATACAAGTTCTGATGTCAATCTCTTAAACTGTTCCAGTTCTTTCGCTCGTTAAGGTCCTTATCTTCGGCTTCTGTAAGGAATGACCACTTCCTTTTCGGGTTGTTCATCTCCTTTGCAAATACAAGCAGTGACTTCGCGGAGAATTTTCAGAGCCGCCATAATCGATACAATGGAAAATACTCGCGAGTCCCCCGGGAGGTCGCAACTCGCGAAAGAGGCGGCAAAAGGAGAAACCCCTGTCGGGGAGGGGGAGGGGAGATTTTTTTTCCAGGGTCAATTTGAGGTAAAATAAATAAATAAATAAGCAAAAAAATGATAAAATAATATAATATAAGATAAAATGAAATAAAATACATGATAATTAAAAAAATATTGTATCTGCCGCTCTGCAAATATTTGCGACCTTGTGCACTTTTTTGTGCCTTTGTGTTGATTAGTTCTTTGAAAATAACAGCTTTGATGATTGATACTCTTTTTTATAATATCCCGTTTTCCGTTCCTGTCCACCCTCTAAAAATATTTCGTATTGCAATGATCTTTTCCCAAAATATATCAAAATGTATTCCCACTGATATGAGATGGACTCGAGACGTGGAGTGTCTTTCCCCTCCCAAGTTCCCCCATTCTGCTTGCTGTGTTGAATCGCCTATTTTTTATATTTTATATTTATTTAAGTCTACTTTAATTCACCCTTTTTCTTCACCCAGGAGCCTGGTCCCAGGCTTCATTGTACCATTCAGCATAGTACAGTATCAACAAACTGTGCATTGGAAAAGGCAAAAGGTTGCAGGGATTAGTATACAACTTATACTAGTTAACTTGCAGTCTATCCAATCACAAGCATAACCCCATTCAGGGTTATATGCTTCTGATCCAATTTAATTTATGCATCTGATCATGACTTTTTCTATACCTGGTGAAAATGAATTCAGGGAGGTGATTGTTAAAAATTTAGTCTCAGCAGGAGAGAGAGAGGGAAGGAGGTTGGGGGATGGGAAATGGGATTGACAACATTTGTAAAAGTATGAGACTTCACTCCTCCCCTAGTCCAAGATTTGCAGCATCGGCCCCTCGCTCACGTGTTCTCGTGAGGCTTGCTTCACTTGCCCAAATAGGAGAGCTTGCTCACAGGCTAAGCTTATTACAATAAATGTAATTCCACTTCATTTCTAACACTTATACTCATACTTTGAAAAGCAAAGTACAATTGTACAATACGATTGTATCAGGTGGTCACTTAAAAGATGTAAAAAACAGTGGAAAATTCAACAGCCATCATCCTAAAAAGTAATAGCAGTTGCTTATGAGAGGTTTCAACTATAAGGCTCTGACTGGGAACATTTTGGTGTTTTGGATAAGAAGTCACTTACTTATGGGAGGTGGCCGCTTACAAGAGGTGGTCACACGGGAGTCACAAAAAATGGATTTGCACAAATTTTCTCCTCGCAAATATGTCGCAAATATGTAAATACCGAGGAGTAAATATATGGCAAACATAGTAAATGCCAGATTTGCATAGTCATTTACACCCCCTGTTTTTTGGTATACAAATGTGGCATTTATCATCTTTGCCATATATTTTTACTCCTCAGTATTTACATATTTGCAACATATTTGCGAGGAGAAAATTTGTGCAAATCCATTACTATAACATACTAATAAAAGATTTTAAAAAAAGCACATGAACAAGTAAAAAGGTAAGTATCTGCAACATATTAATATGTTAACTTTCTTATGAAAGATTAGTACCAATACTTTTTACACTGCATTAATATAAATGTAGCATTTTTATTAGGAAATAAATTTCATCATCATTACTCAGACAGAACAAAAATTAAAAAAAAAATGAAGTATTAACTGCAATCATGAACCCTTTTGCTTTGAGACACATTCAGTTTTTTCCTTGTACTTTAAAACCTTGAGTAACCAGCAGTTCCAAAATTTCTCACAAGTTTCTAAGTCCATCCAGTGGACATCTGCTTTAGAACCATCATGATGTGCAATGACAATCATACAGTTTGTTACAGGAATCCTCGAAATAGGATTTGAATTTATAGCCCCAGCATATGCTACAACTTGAAGAGGTGCATCATAACAACTTTCTAGTGTAGGTCTAGGTTTTGTTGAGGTTTTCCATTCAATGACACAAGGCACTCCATTGCATATGGCAAGACCATCAAAAGTGCCGGAATAACCAATTGATGTATGTGTCACATATTCCTCTGTTGCCAGGACTTTGTCTTTAGTAAGAAGCTTTAAAATTTCTGCTTTTGCTACACTCTGGATTAAACCTGAAATCAGTTCTGGAAAGTGGCTCGATCTATCTGTCTCACCTTGCAGAATATCATTCATACACTTGTGAAACTGCGACCCACTGCTAGAGAGTGATTTTTTGTATTCATTGAATTTCTCTTTCCCCATTTTCTCAACCTGTTGTTTCTGCCAATGGCTTATCATGAACAGCTTGTTGGAAGTGCAGTTTAAAACAGCAGACACACTAGCATTCTTTGTCAAGTACATGTCGTTTGTATTTGAGGCATTGTCATCATCAGTATCTGTTATGCTCTTGTACTCTCCTATAGTTTTACTTATAATTCCCTTTGTTTTTACAGTTCTATTCAGCTTGCCTACCTCTCCACTTATCCACTGACCAGGTGATTCCATTGGGCTAAACAAGTTAAGTTTCTTATCTAGATTAGGTTCCACTGGAAGAAACCTCTTCCTCTTTGCCTTACTTGTGGCGACGGACGATTGATTACTTGGCATCATGAAAGGATAGTGAAGAATCGACGACGTGTCGGCGATGTATTGTGCGTAAAACTCTCTAAGGTCGTTTAAAAGCGTATCTGTTTTGCTGTTTGCTTTAATGCCACATTTCTTGCACAGTTGCTGTAGCTCTCGACGACTCATGCTATCTAATTTGTCCACGTTGAACCATAAGTCAGAAACAGACGCCCGATTTGTGTGAAACTCTCTAGAAACACGGTTTCTACCAAAGAATGTTGAATATGGCAAGCTGCATTGTTCGCAAGCGTTGAAGAGATAGGCACGATGAAGTACAGGTCTCAGGAACAGATGCATATATTTGTCTGTTAAGTGGTTCATATTTATCAAAAGCTAAGCTTGACTCTTCCTCTTAAGGCCAATAATTTGATTGTTGGCGTGAAAATACCAATTACTTTTACGCTAACAATCTCGTCCGCCATTTTGAACTTTACGAGCCCGCGATTCACCTCTCTTCCCACGCCTGTCCCCAGTCCCTCACGTCTGACTTTCCGAACGCCTGTCCGAAAATCGTGTGTCAGACGTTTTTGCAAGCACGAGTTAACTTAGGAATGTTTCGACGAAAACTCAAAGCTCTTGGATATCATAATCCTGAAGCCTTTGATGTTAATAGTAAGTACCTTCTTATTTGGAAGTTGAATTGTTGATAATATTAATTATGTTATTTGGAAATTGATCAAAAGCTTTATTTTCTCCTTTAGTTTTACGTATTGATTTCCCCTATTTAACGTTAAACATTCATCCTCAAAGTAAAAGAACTGAGGTAACAGTACTACAAAAAAAGTAAATAAATAAACAAAATAATGGGAAGGAAGAGACAGGCACGATGAAGTACAGGTCTGAGGAACAGATGCATATATTTGTCTGTTAAGTAGTTCATATTTATCAAAAGCTAAACTAGCCTCTTCCTCTTAAGGCCAATAATTTGATTGTTGGCGTAAAAATACCAATTACCAGTTAAAATTACCAATTACCCCTAGTAGGGGTAGGACCTCTGGCCAGCCAGGGGAATATGTCGGGGAATACAAGGGGATAAATTGGATGGGGAGGGAACAATTCACTAGAGTGTTCTACGTTTGAAGGAAAGGGATGGGCTCACAGGGGAGGGAAAAGAAAAAAAAGGAAAACTGTCTCAGAGCGTACACATGTTTAACAATGAAGCTGTTCTCAGATTGAACTAGAATTTCCTTTCTCTGCTGTAGATTTATATTTAGCTAGTTATGAGTTATTTAGATATATATTTAGTAAGGTCTAGAAGCAGAGCTCTGGGTAATATACTTATAATTTACTCACACAAAAAAGATAAAATTATGCAATGCTAAGCAGTGACGGCAAAAAAATGGTGATAAAATCAATAGGTCTAATAAGCAAAAAGAAAAAAAAAAACTTTGCACGCACAACACACTTTTTTTTTCTACATTTCTTTGATGTTGTACTGCACGACTACTACGTGAAACTTTCTAGTTAGACATCTTATGTGGGAAGTGTGTTTTTCACTGCCATTCCTTTTTACCTACACTTAGCTGGCTGCTACAACCCCGGACAAAACCTGTTGAGACAAATCGCGAAAATGCCTATTTTTTCCTGTCATCCCGGCAAAAACTGAAACCGCCGCCAAATGAATGCCCGATTTCCCCCCTCCCCTTATCCAAAGTTGTTTAGGATAGCATGGCAATTATACACGTTGGTTTTTAGACCAAGGCAACTTTGAATAGGGGGTGGGGAGGGGGTTTACTTTTTGTGTTAAGGGGAGACGGGAGTAGGGCGCAAAAGTTAGAAAACAGATGGAATTGTCTCAACAGTTTTGTCCGGGGTTGTAGCATTCCTCATTTCTTACCACCAGTTTTCATGTTTTTCTTCCAACAAAATTTGTCTCCGTTGTTTTTTATCTAACATGTTAGTTCTTTCTCTCTTATCCACATCATTAAAGACATTTAAGATTTAGTTGGACTTGACTTTTTTGTTGTTTTTTCACTCTAAAAAGTCTGGGGGGCCATGTGACTTCCCACCATAAAACCTCATCGTGCATTTGGGTTGACATACCTGTTGATTGAGTTATTTTACATTGGTATGGTATGTGGTGCAGACAGCGTGCATACAGTCACATGGCTTAATACCCAAAATTCTTGGATGCACAGATAACCAAGTTTTCTAACCCGTGGTGCTCTGCTGCATGCTCTCTGTGTGAACAAGAGAGCTCTGCTATTAAAATTTAGGGCTGAGAACCAGAGGAAATTCTGTTCTAAATTAGTTTGAATACTGTCTAAAAACTGAACTTCTTGTTTAATTCCATTCAGGTGATGAAGAGGTTCGAAACTTAGTTGTTTGGCTGGAAGATCAAAGAATAAGGTTTTACAAAATTGAGGAGAGAGTAGAGCTACGAAATGTAAAAAGCAGTGAATGGTTGAAAACTTTCAGAAAGGTAAGGTTATGTTGTAGTTAATTTTTTATCCCAGGTAATTTTTACTTTTCTTTTGTTTAAACTTCATTAGCGGACATTAACATACCCACAAACAAAAGAAAAATAAAAATTACCCGAGATAAAAAATTAACTACAACATATATGTTAAAATTATCTTGCCATTTTTGTCTTGAGCTCCACTTGGTCCAAAGTACATAGATAAAATAATATATTTTTTAGATGGTTTTTATAGACACAAACTCTCAAAATTATTTACCTTACCATGGTTATACATGCTTGGCACTGCATCCATTAAGACATGTACCTAATAAACTCTAAGAATCAGGAGCCAAAACAGAGCAGTGATGACTTAGATGGGCGAGGTTCCAAAAATTGCAAGCTAGCAGAGGTTTTAAAATCCTATACTGGTAGTATAAACATGAGATATAAATTTGAAAACGTAAAATTTATCTCATCCACTTCTCTTGGTTTTCCTCCTAGTATTTAGATGATCTAAAATGTCCAGTGGAATTTTCACAGAAGCCAAGCGTTGTAGACTGGTTACTTGCTCATGCTGTGAGGGTTGAATATGCTGAAAATGGTTTGTTATTTCTTTTTTATTATTCGTTGTGTTCCTATTATGCATATTATAAAGCTAAATTTATATTGAATTTTTGCAAAGTTAGTTGCATCAGACAAATATAGCAAAATTTGTCAAGTATACCTCTGTACCAAATTTTATCTGATAGCTATTAATAGATGCCATATATTTGCCAAAATTAAATATGATGCAAGTTAACTTATTTTAGATTATTCATAATTAGAACTGTTTTGAAGTTTAATTTGTCTTTTAGTTACCAGTAGTTTGAATCTGACACTTTTTTTGTTATTTTAAAATTGCATCATATATAGCTGAAAAATTTAATAGTGCTGGACAAAAGGACAAAAAAGAACTGGGTGAAGGAGGAACAGTGGAGGGGTCACTTGATGAGAGCCTTATTAATTTAACAGGTTTGTGTCATCTTGCATGATTTTAGTCACATACTAAAATTTCTAATAAAATAACAAAATAATACTAAAATAAAATGCACTTTGAAGTTATTGAAATACCTCTTGAAGAAAGAGTATAAGATTATAAAACAAGAATTTTAAAATTTTTGACAGTTATTCCAGTGCAATATTACCCCATAGTACAGAACTGCAAGGGAGTCTACTAATTATTTTTCAAAAAAAAAAAAGTTCAGTTATGCGAAAAAGGGAATCTCTATTAATTCTCCAATCCGTGATTACCACATTCACTCAAAAACATTCAGTACACTTTTAGGGAATCTTTAATTATTCTCCTATCTGTGAGTACCACATTCATTGCAGTGCACAGCACTGGCCTTTTTTTCTTTTTGTTATAATTTCTCCATTAATTTTAGGGAACAAAATTACATCAAGTTTATGGTAAATCCTCTATTAAGCCAGCCAGAGAGCTTATTTTTTTCAAACATTTTACAGAGGCAGGCTTATTTGAGAGGGGAGGGGGGTTTTTTAATGTAACAAAGATGATGGTATCAGTTCTCCATAAAAGCAAGAACACCAAGTGGAAAAGCTCAGACAATTAAGTTGGAGGTCATACAGTCAAAGAAAAAAAAAACAAATCTCAATGATCTTCCAGCACCTCAGGGGCTTAAAAGAGAGGGGGCTTAACATATTTCTTCCCCTGAAAAAGGGGGACATATTTAGAGAGGGTGAGGGCTAAATAGAGGATTTAGGGTTTGTAAATACCGGTAGCTTGTCTCTCCGGTTTCCTACTGAGTTTATTTTCGTACTCCATGATATTCTTCTTATTACACTTTTTCAATTTGTAATTGCAGTAGAGAATCCAGATCTGAAGGCTGGAGTTACTTCGCTATCAAAACTCCTTAGCTTACCAGAACACCCTGATCACTTTGTTCTGTTACAGGTAATGTGGGTAAATATTTACAATTGTATCTCACTTTTTGCTTTTTATCCTTGTTTTCCAGAGATAATAAATAATCCTGCAAATTGTTAATTGAGGGCCAGGTTGGAAAAACCAGAGTACCTTTAAAATCTGTTATATACATTTGTATTAATGAAAGTAAGGTTCATTATTATTAGCATGAGTAGATTGTGCACAGTCCCCTACTATCTATTTTTCCACTTCCTCTATGTTTTATACTTTTATTGATTATTGTGATTAATAAAATATGCAATAATAATTGTATTATATCTTTTTTATGTACATTGATTTAAGATAAAAAATATGCAGTTGTATTATGTTAATTTTATATCTATATTGTAATGAGTGCATGATCATTTTATGGAATGCGCACAATAGGAGCAATAAATTATTATTATTATTATTATCATCATTATTATTATTGTTTAGTCAGAGTTCCGATTTTATGTACATTGATTTTTATTAATTGTAAGATATTCAATTGTATTTATATGTTAATTTTATTTACATCCATATTGTAATGAGAGCATGATCATTTTATGGAATGTGCACAATAGAAGTAATAATAATAATAATAATAATATTATTATTATTATTATTATTATTATTATCATTATTATTATTATTGTTTAGTTGGTGTTCTGTGTCCCTCAAAACAACCACAAGGCTTTGGACAGCACTAAAAGTGTTAAAACAATAATGGTGATGTTCCCGTGAAAGGTTTTAACTCTTTAAGTCCCAATAGTGACCAACAGCAATTTTCTCCTAACAATATTCTTACATTGTCTACCCTGCGAGCAGAGGCTACATTTTTGCGGTGTGAGCTGGCGAAAATGTAGGCTCTGCTCGCAGGGTATACATTGTCATGAGATGAGGTTATGAGAATTAAGAAAATTATCACCTAAGAGGAAATAAGAAAATACTTTGATCTTTTATCAAATTCTCTCAACTCATTCATTAAGGAAATGTATAGAGATCAGTTTGGAGAATTTGTATGTGGATATTGGGGCTTAAAGGGTTAATTTGCAGGTTTGCAGTAACCTGCGTGGCAGGCGTCGAAAGAGGAGGGAAAAGGAGGGAAAGGGAGAGGAGATTGGGGAGAGAGTAAAACAGACCCCCCCTGTTTCTTTTCCCTTCCTTGCTTTTTTTCCCTCCCCTCCCCTCCCTTTTTTTTTTTTTTTTTGTGCTTGCCATGCAGTCTAGTTTTGTAGATGTGACTAAAACTCGTTCAAGTTGAACCATAACCCTAATCCTAAAACCTTCAGATTTTCACCAATCCAAGAACCTTCAATGCAACAGCTTTTTTCATAGATAAGTTACATCTCTAATAATATACCATGCTTTAATATCGTTTTTAATTATTCTACAGGCTCTCCGCTCGCTTATTGAAGGCAAACTTTCATCTGAAGCGAGAAAGACCGATAAAAAGGTGAGCTGGGTAGCATTGTTTTGCTACCAAATATAACGTGCCTGTATTAGTTATCCTTGATGGCGGTCCATGTTCCATATCCTTTTCAAAGAACCAGGAAGGGTGGTAGAAAAATAATTATGTGTAATTTTAAGACATACCGTAGCTATCAAAGTCGGGTTAGGAGTATTAAGTTTGAAAGGCATGGTTAAAAATAGATAGCTTATATCAGGAAATAACCTAAGCGAGTAAATGTAGAAAACTGACCAGCTTGAAATGGCTTGTATCCTACGGAAACCGGCTGTCTGTTGCTTAAAGACACCCGTTGTTACAGAATTTCTTGGTGTAAAAGTGGCCTAGAGTCATGTGGTAAATTCAAATATGTTCGAATAAATACTGATCTGGGTTTTCATTCTTAACGACTGCTTTGCTTGCAGGGTAAAAAGGCTGACGTCATACCACTTAACAAAGTAGACCTAGGATTTAACACGGGAGGTGTGTATTTTAAAATGCTCTCTTTTTTTCCTTTTTGTTTTCTAACATCAAAAGGAAAATGCGATGTGAGAAAATGGTGAATTTATGGTACGAGCTGTGACTGTGCCAGGTTATATTGACCTTAAACAGGAGAACTGAGTTTACACCTAGAAAAAAGCACAATGCAATTTTCGAATATTGCTACTTTTGTTTTGTTTGTTTGTTTTCATTTATTGTTGTCAATCAAGATCAATAAAGACATTGGAGAATACCGTCAACTGAGGCTGAGCCTTTCAAACTTCGATTTATTATGATGTTTTGAAGCTTGATTACTAACCAGTAATGCAAAACGCATTTTCATCAGTACTGCTATAGCTTGTCTCGATGCGCTTTTATATTTATTCCGGTTATAAGTCCCCCACCCTCCTCCCCTCCATCCGTTTATAAGCCCTCACAAAACCCCTTAGGAAGATGTATAAGCAGGGTTCGCACAGAGTCTTGAATTCTTGTGAAAGTCTTGAAATTTGCCCAGCAATTTTTCGGACCTGGAAAGAGTCTGGAAAAAATGGTAAAAAGTTTTGAGTGATTTTGAAAGCCACAACAAGTGCTTTACATGTGAATTTTTTTTTTGTGTTGGTCATATCGTATTCAATCTTGCCTGTACGTTTGCATCGCTTTGACTGGAAAAAGTTTTGTTCCTGCGTTTTTTTTTTTATGGTCTCTATTGAAGAACTATTTGATAACCTTGAGTATTCTGGAAAAAGAAATTATTGTTTTGGAAAAAGTCTGCAAAAAAGTCGCAAATTGTTGATCAAAAAATTTGTGCGAACCTTGTATAAGCTCAGGGCTTATGAGCCGCAGTTTACGGCACGTCGTTGTATTTAATTTTCTCTCCTTGTTTCAGATTCAGCGGTGAATGAAGCAGCCAAGATAATCCGCTTATTACATGTAACGGATCTAAGAGAACTACAGACGAGGATTAATGAGGCGATAGTAGCCGTCCAAGCGATAACTGCTAATCCCAAGACAAATCAGTCACTTGGACGGGTTGGCGTGTGAGACAAATCACGGTATCATAGGGCAATGAGCCGTTATCAAGGGGGCTGGCATTGCTTCTTCAGGCTGACACCGGATCTTATTTATTGCTGTTAACCTCTTTTAAGCCCGGTCTCGATGACTACTCTCCAGACCTCAACACAGCAAATGATGTACCATTGGTGTTTTTAAAAACACACTATGAAAGGCGACAAATTTGAAAATGAAACTAACGAATATTTATCTCAAAGTATTAAACTAAAGTTGGTTTACTCGAAGTCGGTTTGATGTACGCGGCATTCATCAGCACCTAAACTCTAATGCAAAGTTTATTTAAAGACTTGTATTAAGAATAAATAAGAAACTTTATGTTTATTTGTCTCGTTGTTGTGGTTGTTCCTGAACATCTATCTTATCCGGCGGAGTTGGGGGGAGGGGGGAGAGGGGCAGTCTATTGGATTTTTTGTTCGAAAAGAGGGTGAATTGGAAGAGGCCATTCACATAAACTACAAACATCGTCAAAAGTGCTGGGAAGGCTGGCTACTTTTTTCCTTATTTTTACTTATTTTATTTAGGGGGGAGAGGGGCAATCTATTGGATTTTTTGTTCGAAAAGAGGGTGAATTGGAAGAGTCCATTTACATAAACTACAAACATCGTCAAAAGTGCTGGGAAGGCTGGCTACTTTTTTCCTTATTTTTACTTATTTTATTTAGGGGGGAGAGGGGCAATCTATTGGATTTTTTGTTCGAAAAGAGGGTGAATTGGAAGAGGCCATTCACATAAACTACAAACATCGTCAAAAGTGCTGGGAAGGCTGGCTATCTTTTTCCTTATTTTTACTTCTAATGTTGAACACAATCAATCAGCCCTATATCTAATCAATGACTTGATTAGATATAGGGCTAACCCTCAACAATGTCACGCAGTCATCCCTCTCCTACTGACCCCTGCTCTGTCGATGAATGTTATTTGTCACAAATGAGCCCGCGAAGAAGGCAGAAATAAATATTTTGACGGCGCGAGATACAACAAGGCTTGGGTACTAGGCCGGGGGCACCATGGGTAGCCATACCAGGGGTAAATAAGGCTGCGTATGTCATGCCATATATGGTTAGGAATTTTCGTTGTTTGTAATTTTAGTTATTTGGAAATAGTTGATATACTGTTTATTGTGAAAGGTTTGAACCCAGGAGTCATTTCAAAAGTAAGTTGAGTTTGATCGTCCGGGTGAACGTAGTCCTGAATAGGACTGTTGTTGTTGACAGTGACTTCTTGACAGTGACTATACTATTTATTGTAAGACTCCAAATAAAAAAAAAAAACAGGTATTTATGTATGTATCACGTGTACGTTATCTAGGCTTCTGAACTAACCTCTTGGTTTTTCTTAACTTTTGGTTTTGTTTTAGGAGCGACCTACTCTCGATTACATTGTAAAGTCCTGATATGGAAGGACTTTGAGCTGGAAATTTGGTTCCTACCAAGATTTCCTGCCCCCTTTTTTGGGGGCAGGTTTTGGCTGGTCTCCGTTTGACCGTCCCGACCGCATATATTTCAGTTGTAAGCGGTAACTTAGCTCTGCTAGTTTTCAGCTTTTTTTTCGTTTCTTATCCTTATGCACTTGTACAGTTATCACAGTTGTGCACTTGTTCCTTTAGTTAATATGTTTAGTTCCTATGTAAGTTCAGGCCAGCTGTCCCGGAACCGCTCTTTAGGTGGCGACATAAGTCTAGTAGTTTGACGCAGTTAGATCGCAGGCAATGTTACAGACCTCTAGCCGGCGTCGTTATCCATTTGTTTACCCTAAATGTCTTGCCCTAGCCTTTTCTGGCAGTCTACCTGGCAATTGCTCTGAGTGCGCTGCTGGGTACATTTTTTTAGTGAAGATGATTCTCAGTTTTCCCGGTGCTTATCCTCTTTGCTCCTATAATGTTCTGTTCCAGTTATCCGTTGGTCAGAATTTTATTATCAGTATTATATTTCCCCAGCCTAACTGGCACTAATTGGGGATACAGGTCGAGATCGACCAGTCATAGCAGTTTTTTTTGTGAAAGCTAGTTTACAAGTGTTGTACATTAGTTCAATTTACCTATTGCTGTATTTACATACGTACTTTGCAGTAGTTGGTTCTGGCCGAGCCGTCCCTAAATAAATAAACTTATTTGCCTTTAGATTTTGTCTGTTGCGGTTAGTGGAGTCAAAATGTGTAGTTTTTGTCCCTGTCGACGCCGTCGCGGTTGGCTAAGCTCAAAATAGCCCACGTTCGATGTATCAAAATTCTAACATGATTCCGAGTCTTTCTGGTTATTTTTTCAATATTTGGTTTGGTTTTCTGGTTACTAGATCCCATCGGCCTAAACCCCCTCGGACACCTCAAGAAGTTTACACAACGTAGGATTCCTTATCGCTTCGGTTTCGAGCACTGACTTTCGTGTTAAGGGTTAAGCAATACTGATTAGGGTTAAGCACTGACTAGGGTGATAAGGGTTACGCCCTGAAAATAGTGGTTACGGTTAAGCAGTGACTCGAAACGGTAAGCTTCTAGGTACGGTTAGAGTTGTCAAATCACCTCTAGACAGCCCGTGAATCCTCAGTGGTCTTGTGGTAAGTTGATGAACTGCAGGCCCTACACTCCGGGTTCAATTCCCACTCACACTCCGGAAATTTTTTTATTTTTGCCTTAAAAATTGAAGAGACATACACTTTGATGAACATTTGCTGAGCAGAATTTCATCATTAAAGTGTAGTGTGGAAGTAATAAAGAATACTACGTTGTGTAAACTTCATAAGGTGACCAAGGGGTTTAGGCCGATGGGATCTGATGCTGACCTGGTTTTCTTTGTGCTCAAGTCTCTTCAGGGAATTGTGAGACAATGGAGCGCAAGACAATGGAGTCATGGAAAAATTGCAATTTTGTTCCTTAAGCCTGGGATGTCATGTTAGAATTTTAATATAGAACCTGTGCTATTTCTTGTAAAGCACCGGCACCCTCCTCCTCGATCGCGAATTTGTGCCTTTCTTCACATGTGCGAGTACATGTATCAGCTTATCCTGGGTGACAGAGGCTTTTCATGAGCGGTTTCCGGGCTCGGTCAAGTCTTCGCCGCTCGTGTCGTCGGCCTTCGGCCGACGAAACGAAGCTCCCCGTCGCACGCGAGAAAAAACCTCTGGTACCCAGGGTATATGTATCTATTTTAAAACAGAGAACTGGTTAAAACGATGGAAATACAATAGCATGCGTAATGCAAGTAGTATATGATGTATGACATCATCGAATTTGAAAATCTCCTTTTCCGTCCATCACACGTGTAAACGAGAAACCAGTGTTTTCAAAATCTCTGCTCTGGGACCGTTTTTGAAAACCTGCGTTTTTGGTTCCCGAAAACGCTGTTTACATGCGGACGGAACGCCGACAAGGGGAAAAATTGTTCGTTTTTAAAAACGTCCGGATTCGTGTTAGTCTTAAATGTCATCCGTCTCCACCATATCTGTCTTTTACCCCACGAATTTGCCCCCTAAAAGTCAGTGCAAGGCACAGAGATATTATCTGTAATGCAATGACAGCAAGCGAAAGCCCAGCTATCAGAACAAGGTTATCTTTAAGAAACTGCACCGATACGGTAAGACATCCTTGTACATTGATTCTCTCCTCCCGCGCAGCTAAAGTGAGTTTATCTATTCCATAACCGCATTGTCGGTTTGTCTGTAGCTCTTCCGTTTTGCAACACGAATATGGAACACCGCAAGCTGAAATCACGGCCGAAGGAGCCGAGCAGTTGAAGTAAAAGTTGGCTTCCCAATCGGTATAAGCCTTCGAGCCACAGCAACCCAGTTCTGATTGCGCAGTGTCGATCAAAAAGTGAAGGTCTGGCTTCAGCGGATCGCGATAAAAAACGATGGCGTTGCGTAGCTTCTCGTCGACTTTCTCTTCCACTTTTGCGCTGTTAACGAAACCAATTATCCCGCAAATGATTTCCAGAATCAACAGAAAGATGATGATTCCTGCGTAAAACACCAGGAGGCAGGTATTTTCGCGCAGCGCTCCGATACAACCAGTGAAGGTTATAATAAACAACAGGCCTCCAAATACCACGAATATGACTGCGGGGTCGTAATACAAATCTGTCAGTTTGCTGTATACGTCACGTTTTTCTATCATAACGTAAATGCCAATGCCAAGGACAAGGATACTCAAGAACCAGAACAGAACGTTGACAAAGAATATAATGTACTTGATAACTTGGGACGGTCCGTCCTCTTCGACTGTCAGGTTCGAGGGACTCACTTGATTCGATCGTTCTCGGGTCATATCTGACGTTTCGAGCCGCTTTTAAAGTTTGGCTGAAGAGTTCTAGAAAAAACGAAGAAAAGGATTATAAGCTAAAATACACCAATCGATACTCCACACAGGGAGCGTTCCATTGGGAAATCTGGAGTTAGATTTTAAAATCCGGATTTCGGATTTGCAATCGAACGCGAAATCTGAAAACGGATTTCAACGCTGAGATATCTGTTTTTGAATTTTCATTTTTACCGCGCGTTCGCTTGGGGAATCCGAAAAAGGGTTTGAAAAACCGTCTTTAAGAACAGCGGTCTTGCACGCCTACGCATATTTGCAAAAAGAAAACCACTGTTCACGAGTGACAATTTTGCACCTCAATTTTGCAAATCCTTTTTCGGATTTCTCAATCGAACGTTAAAAAGGTAATCCGTGAAATCCGGATTTGGATTTCTTGATTGAAATCCACCCTGAGGACGGGTTTCTCTGAGGTGAAATCCGTTTTCGGATTTCGCGTTCGATTGCAAAATCCGAAATCCGGATTTCCCAATCGAACGCAACCACAGTCTTTATTAAATGAGCTGAGAATTGAGGCTCTATCTAGAATATAACAGATAGTTATTGCGCCGGCGGCAAGAAAGACATATTAGGGAACTTAAGCAAAGACGTTTTTGAGCGACGCACGTCGACCGGAAGTGAGGTCTTCTCCCTTCTCATATGCCTTGACGCTAACAAATTTGTATTGCTAAGTTTCTCTTCTCTTATAAAGACGATTTACCCAAGATTTTCAACAGAGCCACTGCCCAATGATGCAAAAAGTCCACTTCCGGTTGACGTCCGTCGCTCAAAAACGCTGTTGCTTAAGCTCCCTATTGGATCAGATAGGGCTTTTAGTCAAACCGGTAAGAAAGATGATTTTGGAGCGGTTTCTGAATTAACAACGGAGCGAAGTTAGGCGTCTCCCCTCCGTAGAGGCTTCGTTGTGTTGTAGGGAGGGTGGGGAAAGGGAAAAAGAAAGCGCTCGGGGCATGAAGGGAAGGGGCAAGAGAGGAAGAGAGTTGGAAGGGAGGCTCTTTCTTTACTGTCTTCCCATTGTCCACCGCGTTCTTGCTTGCTTTATTTTCTTTGTCCTTCTTTTTTTAATCATTGTTTTTTATGTACCTTATTGGTAATTAATTTCGCGCTTCTTTAATTTCGCGTTTAAAAATCGCGAAATTCAAGTCGCATATAGAAAATTCAAATCACAGGAAAAAAAGATTAATTAACATGTAACAACAACAAAACACACAGGAAATATATCGACAAACACACTTTTACTGCCGGTAAGTTCCATTTTGTATCTTCCGTTGTGAAATAACGTACGTTAATTTGCAAAGATTCCCAGTTTACCATAAACTTGTTAATTTGTGAAAATCAAATATTCGTTTTGAAAACTAAATTGTGGTTGAGAATGCTCGAAGACCCTTGAATCGCGAAATTTAAGTCCCTTTTTTATATTTGCCTATTTAAATGGCGAAAATAAAACTCTGCGAAACACTGTTTCTACAAAATCGCGACATTAAGTACCAATAAGATATCTACTGGGATACCCAGCAGGAGCCGCTAGAACGCCTGACCGACCAAGAAAACCGTGAATAGTCGTCACCTTTTGAATAGGTCTCTGTGTACTTCATTGAAGTGTGAACAGATGATTTGACGTGTTCATACCAGGCGGGAGTATGTGCACACGGATAGGCTTTCAGGTATAGCCGAACTATGTCCAGCGAGACCAGTTACTTCAAAAACGTGTACCTTGTCGTGACAAGGGACTCGAAAATGCTCATCGGAAAATTAGGATTGAACCCCTTAAAGATACCAATCTGGACGTGACTCAGCGTTTTTTAATAGATAAATAAACAGATAAATAAATAGATAAATAGATAAATAAATAAACTATTGCCATTCTATTGTAACGCCGTATTAGCGAGACCAAGTGATCTTACAATTCACACCCTACCGTAAACTGCCTCTTTAAGACTCCCCACTTAACCCCACCCCCCTGTTAAGTACCCATCTTGTGACCTGTAAACAAAAATGACATACAATATGCTCTATCCTTTACAAGCCCTTCTAAAACCCATGACAAAGATGCATGAGCCCAGGGCTTTAAATAAACCGATAATTTTTGGTATATGGGACTAGTAGTAATCTCCTACCCAGAGTAGCCATCTTTTGGACCTACTAAAGAAAAACGGTTTACTCTCTTTCTGGTGGGAATTTCGACTGAAAGGATTTCTCGATAAAACAGGACGTGGCTGGTCACGTGATGTCGTTATAAACACGTTTTAATACGAAATTGGAAGATTTCCAGGTTGTGATTGGCCTTAAATTGTTAGTCATGGGATATCTTGAAAATACTTTACATTATACCACCCCCCTTTAAAAATTCTGAAAACTCTGTAATGACCCAGGCCTTAATCTACTTGACGTCCTTGTCTACATGCATAACTGTATTAAACTTCGGATTTTAGAGTAGCCTAAAGGCTAGTATCTTCGATGAATCAGACATACAACGTCACACATTAAAAAACATATCAACATGAAAACACAAACTGGTGGTAATAGTAAACGTCTAATTTATGAAACTATGGGAAAAAAGTAAACGTCTAAATTCCTTCAGATTAGTGGTTCTACTAAATGAATCAGGAAGCAAGTTCCAATATCCCACTGCGGCATATCTAACTGTGTTAAGACCATATGTTGTTTAGGGTTTTGACAAGGCAGAGTCCTTTGGTTTTTTGGTCAGCAGGATGCTAAATGACCAAAAACCCAGAGGACTTGGGGTACAAGACATCCACAGAAGCCATGGCTCCTGACTTCCAGCATCTCAGTCTCTTTGACACAAGATGGAAATTAACACCCCCCACCCCCCTCCGGCCCACTGCACCTTTAACATTAAGTTTGATACAGCTGCTAGGCAGTCATGGTCGGTCGCGTGCGGGTCCGAGCGACAATTTGTTTGTTTGTTTTTTGGTTTCTTTCCTTCCCCCAATTCTTTTCTTTCAGAAACAGAGATCGGTTTCTAGCCCGAGACTCATATAATCTTAATCCCAGTCATTAACATTGGAAAGCTGAATATTGTAGCTACGTGTGTAGAGTGACATAACAGCTCCTATTATAAGAAGCCTTGAGGACCATGTGTTTTTACAATTTTGAGATTCCTTGGAGATTATTATATATACAGATATATCCTTTTTGAAATCGAGATTCCGAGCCGTAAACTCAGACGAAAAAAAAAGCAAGTCCACTTCTTTTGGTCACCATTATAAATGCCCCCCATTTACGTTAAGAACGGATTCTACTGTAATTTGCATCTTCTTCACAATCAACTGCTTTTAAATCATGAACTCTTACTCTACTGTTTCAAAATGAAAACAACGAAAACAAATTGCCCTTTCAGTCTTTGCAGAGTTCTCTAAACAAAATCGCGTGATGCCGAAGTTAAGTGTGAGTCATAAAGTTCCGTGTTTAATAAGAGACATGCTCCATTGAGAAATCTGTTTGTAAGTATGTACATTGTACTTAATACGTATCACGAACCTCGAAACTCGAAACTGACAAGCCATCGACAAAGACTTAATGATTAATATCAACATGACATGGGGCCCAATACTACGATAAAAATAATAAATATACGGAAAATACCGAAAAGAGACTCCTTTCGGTCAGATTTTAGACAAGAGCGTCGCTCAAGACCCTTTCAAAATTCTTTACTTTCTTTCAATCTTAGAGCAGAAAAGAATGAGAGGCTTATACCTTGTCACCATGAACAAAGAAAAAATCTTACCAGCCGAGAGCAGATAGCAGGGCTTCTTAACAGACTGTTTTCCCACGCTTGGTTTTCAGTCTCTAAAGAAATAGTTTGGCCCGCTTTCACAAAGAATTTCCTTTTCCATTCGCAGAGTAATTTAATTGCAAAACAAGTATTCAAATAAACGATTGCTGCGTGACTGTGGCAGAGAATCACCTTAGCAACTGTCAAAACAGTATAGTATTAATTGTATGTTGATGATAGGGTAGCATCATCTCTTACCAAGCAGGAGGGCCGAGGTGACGGGATTTAGGTGCAATTAATTCAGATCGTCAAGAAAATTATTGTACTGTGAAAAGCTTTCCTCAAGTGAATTTTGATGAAAAAATGTCGATTTTTTTCATTTAATTGTCAAACTAGTGGAATAAATATAGCCTGCTAGCAGGCGCCCCCAAAACTGAAAAGTCTGTTTGCCCCACAAATTTTGCACTGAAGTATTGTTGAAATGTTGGTAGCCTGGGAACTGCATGTTTCCAAGAGCATTTGAAATTAATTTGCGATATGTAAGTAATCAACAGAGCAAATTCCAAATCTAAAAATTCATACGTGGCTCCCAGGCTTGGGGGAATGAAACGGTGCTTATCCCTCAATGGAGAGACAGACCAGCAGCAATCAAAATAATAAGAAAACAAAGGACAACAAGCTGAGAAAACGAAAACAAGGGGTTCGCTGAGGAACTTTCTAAGAAGCCAATAAACTGACTTGCTTGCTGCGGCTTCACTGTACGTCTCCTAATGTGAGGTGCTCGATTCCCGCCGTCCCCAGGCTCCCGTGCCTAGGGTAATCCAAGACAGTCTTGGACTGGATTTCACGCTGTGGATTCAGGATTCCAGGTACTGGATTCCGGATTCGTTTTCAGTGACACTTGGATTCCGGATTCCAATCGTTTACGTAATTCCCGATTCCTTGAACTGAATTACGGATTCCGAGTCCAAAGTCCAGGATTCCGGAATCCACGAGCAGAAATTTTCTGGATTCCGGACCTACCCATGTAAGGGGGCCAAGACAGTCTTGAATTCTGGATTCCGGATTTCAGGTACTGGATTCAGGATTCTTTGTCAGTGGAATTTGGATTGCGGATTGTATCGCTAGCGGGGTTCTGGATTCCTTGAGCTCTATCCCGGATTCCAAAGCCTAGGATTCCAGATTCTTCAATTCCCGAGTGCCCCGTGAGAGTTGAAATTTGAAATACGGTAACTTGGTCAAATACCGTAAAATTCCGAAAATAAGCCCCTCCAAATATGAGCCCCCCAAATATAAGCCCCCAAAACCCGGTAACGAAAAAAAAACCCTCCGTTAAATCGCCCCTCCAAATATAAGCCCCTCGGGAGCTTGTACTTGGAAAATTGCCCCCAAATACAAAGTAAAACAAAGCAAAAACGGTAAATTTACTTCCAACTATAAGGCTAGCCCAATCGATTTTGAAACGCAAAATTCCCTCCGTAGATAAGCCCCTCCGAATATAAGCCCCTCCAAAAATAAGCCCGTCAAAAGGGCCTTTGAAAAATATAAGCCCGGGGCCCCAATCAAAAAAATCGACCCCAGGGCAAAAAGCCAACGTCAATTGATTTTGAAACGCAAAATCCCCTCCGTAGATAAGCCCCTCCGAATATAAGCCCCTCCAAAAATAAGCCCGTCAAAAGGGCCTTTGAAAAATATAAGCCCGGGGGCTTATTTTCGGAATTTTACGGTATTAACAATAAAACCTGTTTCATGCTTTATCAACCTCGACCCCAGGGCGCTTTTCCCTAAAGCGCCCTGGGGTCGACGGTTGATGCTTTATTGCCAGGAGTCGTGTGTTCTTGTTTATTGCTGTGTTTAGAAGAGGATTCTACGACGAATATTTTGAAGTATGGAAGCTGTCTGCTTATTTTCCCAACACTGCTGGAGTGATAAAATTTTGCCCCAAAATTTGCCGCTTATGTATTTTCGCGTCATGTTTTTGTAATGGTTACATGCACATAAGATTTGTGATTTTATTATAAATACATATTTTTCATCGCATGTTGTTCATTAATGTTGAAAAAAGATTAAAGATAAGAATAAAATAACAATAATAACAATAATAATTTAAAAACACATTATCGCTAGTCTGGGCAATCGCAAAAGGTTTTTTGAAGCTCACAAATAAGGACTGAGGATCGTCAGGATGATCAAAATGAACTTAACAATCAAGGTTACTCATCCTAAGGTCAGAGGCAAACCAGTTAGCGACAATTGTGGCCGAGGAGATTAATTTGGGACTACAGAGAACATAAATCCAGCTAGCGGTTAAAGCGTTGAATGAAATCAGAGCCTCCGGAATGCAATTCCAGCCCTGTAACTGCTCATGATCAGCCGCACTGCCTCCTGTGTGCTAAATCAAAGTCTGAGGAAAAGCTTAAACTTTCATTCCTTCCTTCTCTTTCCGAAACAAAGCGTTCTGAACCATTAAATCAAACAAACTTTCAATAGTAAAGCCAGAACCCTTAGCGACTGCACTTAAGGGACACAATGAAGTAAACGACCAGAACAGGTTGCATTCCAGTAGAAATGGATTTCCATTGTTGTCTATTCGGAAGTCGAAAAGACCAAAGTCTTGGAGGTCTAACTCGAGAAAGGCTCGACAGCTTTGCTGCTGGATACGCCTTATTAGTTCTCCTTCCTTTTCAGTGTCAAGATACCAAGTCTTAACTTCTGCTGGCTTGCCTATTATAGAAAGAAAGAAAGAAAAAATAGTAACACCTCTCTGCTCCTTTCCCTCTGCGAACCCACAGATTAATTACTAAGGGAAAAATAGACATTTAAAAATGTCTCGATAGCCAAAGATAAAACCCATGAAATGAAAACCAGACAACGTTATAATTACTTGAAATGCAGAAATACAGAATGAACAATGCATAATACTAAAAACTAGACAGTTTAAAAATGTCTCGATAGCCGTCACCAAAATGCATTGACCGAAAAATATTTTACAGGGACCATCGTCTCTATTTGTATCGCATGCGGCGAGCGGCGTGACCGAATGGAGCACGAGGGGAAATGGGAACGAGGAAAACGGAAGAGAGTCTCCACTCTTTCCTCCTTCCCGTCATCCCTTGCTCTCCTCTTGACCTCGCTACTCCCGTTAAAATTCACAAGAGGCTGAGAAACGACTTGGGACGAGTCAGTTATCGAACACTACATGGACGTTTAGGTAATAATAAATAGAACTGGACATATATCGACCAGTTTAATATTGAATTGGGACAGTTAACTGATAATTCATGATCTGGCGGAAGAGAATCAGGCCAAGAACAGTGAAAAATCAAGTCAAGATGCCTGATCAACGGCAGATAATGTTTAAATCTGCTTTCCCAAGAAAGTATTCTACAAAAGCATTTGAAAACTTCAAAATCCTTTGCGCGACATGCCCTAATTCGCGGGCCTGAAAATCTCCTTTTAGCTTTTCCAGATTCTCCATCTCCCACTGATTACGGCAAAAGTGTATTTACATTTTAGGCTATTTTTAGGTTATACGCTCCTAGCTTTTCCTATCTCTCGCTCCTCCTCTTCGAACAAGCAAAGCCTGTGAGCAAGCTCTCCATTTCGAGTTGCGAGCTCGTGACTTCTCTCGATATCCCCAGCCTCATTCCCAGGCCAGGTCGTCCTATCCGAGTGAGCAGAGGATGCTTGGAACCGGGCGGGATAGTCCTGGGCGAATTCTTCCGACAAGGCATACAGGTGACGGCAGATTCGATATCGCCGAGGACGCTGAATAAAATGGAGAGAGCTTGCTTGCACGCTAAATCGAACAGCGCTTTCGATTTTGACTTTGTTTATGACTGTAAAAAAATGGAATACTCACCTACAGGCAATCCTTCTTGATTATAGACATACTTCTCCTCGGACTTACGGATGTCATCCTGGCACACGTTGTATTCCATACACGACAAAGCCTTTATATTCCCAGTTTCTTCTGATTTGATGACGGCGCAACGGATCTCCCGTCCTTCTATGAATCTGCATCAGAACACAAACTTGCTTCAGCACTAAGCTGAATTCATCCAAATCGCATTAAATCTTTGAATCCACGTTGTTTAATGATAACATATGCGCCTCCTTTTCTTACCAAGCGACGCGTTTAATTATCCAAACCCTTCAACTGTCCGGCTGACTGTAACCGAGACAAAAAAGATGATAGCGTATGATGATTTCACGACAACGCTCTTTTGAAAAGAATTATGTTTCCCATTTTTTCTGTCATTTTGTTTCTTCTATTAAGTATTAAAATATTCTTATTGGAGCAATCCTCAAACAATGCCTGAAATGCTAATAAGATATGGTAGACTCAGCACAAGGCGGTGGGATACTGGAAGCTCCTGTTAGTTCATCGCTGCGAGAGGTGGGTGGGGTGCGTAAAACACCAAAAAGACTGAGCACGCTATTGGGAAGAGGAACTGACCTTCTAGAAGAGGCTCACAATGTACAGACACGTATAGGATAGTCAAGGGGTATACACGGGGTGTTAGTGTTACGTGATAGAGCTTAAACTATCATATTGTCAAGTCCCCAGAGAGAATATGACAATTTTACTCGACGTTGATTTATTTTTTGGCCTATATATCTATTATACTGCACATCTTTTCTCAGTGATAGCGCATCCAAAAAACATTCCCGCAGAAGAATAATTTCAACCTTACAACCTACCTTTCAATAATGACTTGGGTCGAGAAAGTCAGCGCATGCGCAATAGCTGCATCTAACGACTGCTGGTCCTTTACCAGTCGTACTGCTCTGGTATCCTCTCCTTTGCTCGCCTTGACAACACACGGATACTGGATGTGCTCATATGGTATCCGATCTCCTGTAACCAAAAAAATGTACTGAACGCTTTCAATACTTCTATCGAAATCGACCCCTTTTTTCCCACTCAAGATAGCTCGCTCTCAGGCTGCACATGCCGACGTGAGGTTCTGCGACTACCACATCTTTTTTTTTTTTTTTAGCAGCAAAAAGTAGAAATGTAAATGAAGATATGATCGTCGCAGTGGTAATTACAATTTAAGCAACTGCAAATTAGCCGGGAAAAAAATCGGGAGTTCGAAGGGATTCGAACCCACGGCCCCTACGCTAGCGCTAGAGTGCTCTACCGATTGAGCTATGAAGACGCATGTATTGGGAGCAGGCCAATTTGTTGAGTTCATCTCAACCCATGAAAGGAAGGAAACGTAGAATGAAGATGATGCGAAATGTGGAGATACAAATTTAAATGAAGATATGATCGTCGCAGTGGTAGGTGCAATTTAAGCAATTCCAAATTAACGCTGAAAAACATTTCGGGACTTCAACGAGATTCGAACTGCGTAAGCGCTGCAGTGCTCTACCAAAAGCAGAGCACTGCAGAAAATACCTTTTTTAAGAACTACTCCCTCAGCACAAGAGACATCGTTGTAGGCTTGCAAAACACTGCGTGTCTTTAGTTTGTCCATGCTAAGGTATCTCGATTCTGCTGATCCGCCCATCATAGGGATATTCAATGCTTCGAAGAGAGCCCTTTGATAAGAAGAACAAGGAATCAATAACAATACACCACTACTTCACTGAGGCCCCGTTGATTGCCCCCCCCCCCCCCAACCCCACCCCTGGACGAGTCAACTTTAGCGATCGTTTATATGAGACAAGAAGTTGCTGCTTTGCCCCACCCAACAGCATTCACTGATTGTCTCGCCTTCACAAAGATGACCCTTGGGGGGGGATGGGAAGGTACTCCCTAATATTTGCCTTATAAGTATGTGCCGCCCTTAAGGGTATGGTTAAGTTTGTGCGTCGTTTTGATCTAAAAACGGGTATAGACTTCGCCTATTTCGGTCTGAATTCGGGTAACTATGGTTTTCGAGAGAATATGGGAGTGTATGAACATATTTTTTTTACCGAGCTTTTTCTTATAATACTCGAGATTACTCGCCTATAGAGTGCTTTCACTCACGTGGCCAGCATCTATGCAAATTCATTGGAACAAAATTAAAAAGAAAGCGTTTCCATAAGAAAAGAGTTCAACTCCCACAGGATTGGTTTGGGACACCAACATGGCCACTGTTTCACGCAAATTAAAATTTGGGAAATTAAGGGACTGATTGGTTTGCACATGCAGAAAAAAGGATACGATGAAAAATGTCCCCTTGTTAACAATGAGTCAGTTGGCGCAAATTGGTGACGAGCCAAGGGCACTGTTAAGTTCCGATGACTCCATACAAATCCCCCTACAATTGGCTTGGATCGTAACGTTTACGGTCCAGGCCTTTTCCAGAAAACTTTGTATGGAGTCTTGGGAGCATGATAGTGCTTATATCTCGTCACCAATTTGCATCAATTGACTGTTTTTTTAGCCAGGGGCAATCATCTTCTTCTATCTGTATATACCAACCACTCCCAAAATTTCACCAATTCAGTTTTTGTGACGTCATCACTTCTTCTTCTCTATTATTGTATTGTGTGCGGTGTTTATGGGAGGGTGGCGTTTAGTGGTAATTTTGCTTCCATCTAGGGCGTTTAATTGGAGGTGGTGTGTAATCGAGTACATATATTATACTCCTAGGAAATAAGACAGTGTTTCATGGTAGATCTAGCCTGTGCCAGGCTCTCAGATAGTAGGAGTGTCGCGAAAATAAGGTAAAGGAAAATAGGACGCGCGTGATCTGGGAAAGGGGGAGGCAACCTTTTCTCTCCCCAGCCCCCGCGCGTTTTTAGTATCAATTTTCACGATCTCCGCACTTGCCTATCTTGGAGTCTGGAACACGTCAGGCTAGGAGGATCTTGCGCTTCGTTCATTTGACTCGTGTATCCTTTCGTTTGTGGGAAATAGCTCAAATAATAAAATTACTACGTCACCCAGAGCTCATACCCCAGAGCAATGCAAGCGACTCTATTGCGCCCAAAAACGGCATTCTCGTAGACTATGCAGTTTAATATTTAGATCGATTTTCCCGCGAATTTTTAATATCGAATAAGTCTTTCAAATAAGTTATCAAAAATCGGAGACAAGGAAATAGTATTTCTGGTGTTTTGATAGCCTTTCTTTCTTCTTTTTATAATTATCGTTAAGTATAACATTATGAATAAAATAAAAATTGTTTCTGACCAGTAAGTTGTTATTCCTTTCAGGCAATAAAAGTGGATGAAAGCCAGATCAGGTTTGATGACAGTTTTTATGTGTTGTAAGGCGGGTATGGTTTCCATCTTCTCAACTTTGTTTTCTCTTTCCTCTACTTTTTCCACGTCTACAATGTCGGAAATTTTTTTCACAAACGACCAGGTACCGTCCGGTCGAACAACGGCGTAGCTGAAGGAATACTTTCCAGATCCTATGCCATCGGCATCAAAGTGAGCAACATAAAAAATATTCAAAGTGAAGCCATAGTCATCTGTAGGTGAGCCCACAACGTGCAAAATCTAAAACAGGAACGAGAGTAAATGGGTTCATTTTGGGCCTAAAGTACTGAAATCTTAGGGGAGGTAAGAAGGAAAGTGAAAAGTATTACAGATAACTGCAAAGCCTGAGTTTTTTCAGGCTTTCTTTTCTTAAACAGCGACGATGTTCTTTACATTTATTTCCTAATTCCGTGGTTCCAATACATGGAATTCTTTATTCATCATTTCGTCTTCATCCTTCCCTAGTATACTACGAACCAATTTGATGGTCAGCTCAAGGTTGACTTGCTATCGCAGTTGGTTAGAGAGCTACACCGGTATCGGAGAGCCAGAGGTTTGAATACAGACAAGCCCGAATTTTTTCAGGTTTCAGGTTTCTTTTGCCCGATGTTTAAGTTGCGTCTTTATTGCGACGATCATCTTTACATTTCGTTTTACTGTTATTTATAAACTAAAACACAAATTTCCTAAACTATTAGCTCTCTTTTTCTTTTGTAACTGAGCCGCAGAAAATATCTTCATTTATTGACAAGTGGCATATTGATATTTATAAACGGCTCCGAAAACGCGCATGCAGGGTGACACGGAAGCCACGAAGCTCCAATTGAAAATCAAAATCTTAGACATTAAGAACAATATATTATCCAAAAGGAGAACTGGAGCAACACTCTTTGAATTTATTTTTCTTGTACGAATCAACACGCAAATTTTGTTGCCAGTTTTCCTCAGATGACTTTAATGAAACCTCAAAAGTTTATAAGAATTCAAAAAATCCATCATAAAAGATATCTGCAACCTCATTCCCAGTCTCTTGGTCCTTTTCTCTGTTGTTTGATGCAAAAAAGGGGAAACAAAATTGCCCCGCAATTGCACCCTGTAATTTCCTGTACTGCTACGCCCAAAAGAAGAAACCTTTTCCAGGCTTCTAGACACATAAAAGGGTAGGGATTTCACTAGTTGAAGTACATAAAAGGATAGGGAAATCTGTCATTTCGATCTGTAAAAGCACCTAAAAGAGCTAACAAGTGCATTTTATGGCTGTGAAAAAAATAAGAAAACCCCGAGGTCCGATCGCTTACCCATTTATAAACCAGATTTCTCTATAATTAAGTGTACTAAATTAAATCTCTACCGTTTCATATACCTAAGTCTGAAAAAGGTACCCCTTTCGGGCGGAGCCCCAACCTATAGGCCATTACAGGAAAAGGCTGATATATTGGAGGTCAATATTTCGGCTAAAAAAATTAGCCTTCTTCAAGGCCAGACAACAGCTACGTTGAAAAAGAATACTTTTTCAGTGTAGCTCTGGCCCTGAAGGAGGCTTATTTTGTTAGCCGAAATATTTGCCCTTTGCCGTTGTGCCAGCCTAACATTCAGTTTTGTTTTAATTCCCACTTCAAGTGACTTCTGCGGGCATTAGCATCTCTAAACATTAGAGATCTGGCCAGAAAGAACCAGTCGGTTTTATTTACGCGTTGAGTGGACGTCTGCATTCAAAGGCTTTTACCATTACAGGAAGTACCCCCCGGGATAAAAACGTAATGAATTGATGTCCAAGGAACCTCAGTATCTCCATAAAAAATAGTCACTCACGCCACTACAGTTTAAGTTTTTTTTTTTAATTTCAATTAAGACAAAGACTCCCATTTTTGGAGGATATAACTGTGACCATTTTCGAGATCGTCATGGGGGTTTCTTTTCGTTATAATCTACAGTGAAGCTTCGACGAGGGACTAACTTTTGAAGTCAATAACATTACAAGTACGATTCATAAGGTATTTCTGATACTACCTTCAAACGTCTGTCCACCATATTCTTCTGACAGCAATTCAAGTCCAAATCCTATAAAATACAAAATATCCAACATGATGAATGGTTACCATGAATGCCGTTTTTGGTATTGTCACATTCAAATGACCAAAATAAAGGATTTTTTTTTTGGGGGGGGGGGAGGGGGAAGGGTGTATACTATCAAATCGAGGTCAGTTTCATTGAGGTTCCCGCGCTTTCTACGCCTGGACCTTCACTCATTTTCACCCTAACACCTCCTAAATAGCCTTACGCTATTCTGCTACCAGGACTAAATCTACGAGCAACTGACTCTCGCTCTCTACTCTTTTCACTCGGATTAATTACTACCCTTACCACATCTGCAGAAGATCCACGTGTCCTTGAACATAAAATGAATTATGATATGAATTTAATCCAGTCATGGCTGTCAGCAAACAAATTTAACTTTAAATGTTAAGAAGACTAAATACATGCTTATAGGGAGCCAATTTAAGTTATCCCAAATAAATAGTGACTTCACAGTCAAAGTCAATAATACACCCTTTAATAGAAAGAGTAATTAAACATAAATCCCTTGGAGTTCAAATTGATGAATCTTTGAACTGGCGCCCACACATTGATACCATTTCAAAGGAAATATCCGCTGGTATTGCTATCTTAAGGCGTGTAAGTCATTTTATACCATTTGATACTAGAGTGAATATGTACCATGCACTGGTAATGCCATATTTTAATTACTGTGGTGCCGTATGGGGTAATATCAATAAGGGACTAGCAGACAAACTTCAAAAGCTGCAGAATAGGGCTGCTAGAATTCTCACCTTTTCTAACTATGACGTTCGCTCAAGTGTTTTGTTGGATGAGCTTGGCTGGGAAAGGCTAGAATATGTAATACTTAAACAGTTGGCTGTGACAATGTATAAAATCCATAATAATCTTTCCCCTTCGTATCTGAGGCGGATCTTTACCAACACCTCAAATGTACATTCATACAATCTTAGAAATTCTGAGTTAAATTATTATGTCCCCAGACCCAGAACTGAGTCTGCAAAAGGGAGCCTACACTACAGAGGATCTGTTCTGTGGCACAAGATTCCCTCAGAGATTAGAAAACTGCCTAGTTTAAATGTTTTTAAAACTTCAATTCATGGGACAGATTTTTCTAATACACCATGACCCATTGTAACTCTTATTATTCATAAATGTAAGTTTTTGTATTTTTTTATCATTATAGTCAATAGTACAGTTCCTTAGAGTATTTTAGTCTAGTTTTAAACACGATTCCTAGGAAGACCATGTAAAATGATACGATTTCGTGTATAAATAAAGATTGATGATGATGATGATGATGATGATTGCATTAAGGGAATTTAAGGGGTGGGGGTCGTGGGGTGAAGGGGTGGAGGGTAGTTGTGGCGGGGAAGAGGCAGATAGCCCTTTTCCTTATTCTTATACCCCCGTTCATCAATTCGGAACCAGAGATCGTTAAGAGAGCTTCCTAGCTCTCCTGGGTACTAACGAAAATACAATGACAGGGTGTTCTTTAAGATTTTAAGTACACAGACTGTTGTATACAGACTGTTGTATATATTTTGATATACTTTTGCGGCTTTTGAAGATTGTGATTTCTTAGATAAAGTTTTCTCATTTGAATTTTTTTAATGTACGGACGCGCGAGCTCACGCAGTTTATATGCGTCTAGTTTCTTACTAAAAGCACTTGAAAGTGAAAATTTCTCATTACATTTATGGAAATGTTAATTTTATCATTGTTACTCATCTCTCCATGCTGAAAAAAATGCCCATTATGCCGGCATTATGCTTGATGTTTTGACTACAGCATTGTGCCCAAAATTATGCTGGCACAATGTAGAGCAGCAATAGATATAGATTATTATTTTGAAAAAGGAATAAAACAACAAAGCTTGATTGATATACAGGTATGGACACTGAACTTCAGCTGGAGTGACAAAAAACGTAAGGACAAAGAATTGACATGGGCCCCCCATCCCCCTCCGAATTTCGTTTTCACTGGTGACGTCATCAAATTGTCAAGTCAAAATAGCGAGGTTTTACGATTTCTTATTTACACTAAGTTGAATTGAAGTTAAACAAAAAGTAAATCTTTATACATGTTTCCATTCCCGCAGCATGTTTCATTTCGAAAATACGGCAATTTGAACTTACGAGTTTTAACAGTGCGTGACACCAAAATAGGAATGCTGTTTCGTTGATTTTCAGCACTATAACCATTTCAGTTGGTAGAAGATATGTTTATGCCCACGCATGCTAGTTCTCGAGTGAAAAAAAGAGCTTTTATAGAAAAAGTGAACTCCACATGTTTCCATTGATTTCCGGCGGCCATTTGTGCACCAAAACGGTACACCAATATGGCGTCTCCATACAATGCTCTACAAAGGTGCATGAAACGTTTCGCCAATAACTCAGAAACTGTCGGCCACAAAGACCGACTGGAAAAATTGTTGGTATCTTAGTTTTTTATAACATTTCATTTTCTTGCCTTCTTCCACCCGACGGTTTCCAATTTTTTGGTTGCGTGACTGTGAAAACGATCTATACTGTCTTTATTTCCGACTTGTCAAGCGCTTGCATGGTTCTGGTTATCGAGCGTAAAATTATATAGAAATGATCAGAAGGGAAACAAAAATTACTTCGAGTTAGCGAGGGTTTGAGTTAGCTGTAAGGTTCTAGTTATCGGGAGTCAACTGTAATTTGAATGGTTGGTCGCGTGCGGCACTGAGCAACCTGCTTCAAAGTAAAGACAACGAAAACAGATTGCAACTTCTTCTTTTCACAGTTCTCGCGTGATGCCGCTAAGTGTGAGTCATAACAAGTTCCGTTTTGTTAATATAAAGCAAACATGCCCCATTGAGAAATTTATTTGCAAGTGAATGACTATTTGGATTAGTATGTACATTGTATTCGGCTGCACGAAACACGCACCCGCTTGAATCTGACAAGGCGTCGATGGAAACTTAATTAAAATCAATATAGGAC